GTCGTTCACTAGTGTTTATGACATGCTCAGTTACGTATAGTAATGATGGGCAGTGGCTAGCAGTGGAATCCAGGATGCGCATTTCGTCCTATTGGGGACTAGTTAGCTGGATGTACCTACTTCCCAGTGAGTGGTGTTGTTCCCACTGGGATTCGCACTCGGGAGCAATCGCGTCAAACGCGAGAATGCTATCCACTACACCACCGAGCTACTCATTTACACTCAAAATTTATCCAGTTTTCTTTTAATTTTTTTCTTATTTCACTTGTATTGTGAACCATTTTTTGTAGGATGCGTAATTTATTATGAGAGTTAGAGTATATACACAAAACAATGCAATCATTACATTTCTTGACATTCCATACAGACTCAACAGTCGTTGCTTGGACATTGTAAACAGGGGCTGTTACTCACCTTCCCTATTCACTCTTGTAATTAAATTCATTTCTGAACACTACTGTACTTTAAGTTCCGATTCATTACTTTTGATTTCTAATGATTTCAATAAGACTAATTGCCACTTTTTTGAAACAAAATAAATCAACACGATGTAAGTCTGTGTTGTTGATTGGACTAAATCGACAGACCACTAACAATATATGCACCCCTGTGCGGATGCCTCAGTAATGGTGGTAATTTATTTTTAATATTAATGATGGACAGTGGATACCAGCGGGATATAGGACATGTGTTTCGTTCTATCTCGGGTTTGTCAGCTGGAGGTAACTGCCTCCTCAATCAATCAATCATTATCAACATAGAACCAGGCATTACTGTGTAACGGTCCAAGTTGCCACACCTCATATCATTACATCAAGTAGAAAGGTAGTGAGGTGAAGGATGAAGGATGAAGATAAGTGAATGCAGTCAAAAGGAATATAAAGTACGAGAAGAAAGGAAAGAGGAGTGACAAAATGGTGAGATTCGGTATAACGTCGTTAACATGAGGATAATGTAGGCATACATCTGCGCCACTGACATCGGTTCTCAGTTATGTGATCACCTATAGTCAGTCTCCAACCACTGGTTCCTCCTGTCCCGCCAACCCCAACCACCTAGTCTGCATCATCCCATATGGCTTAAACCAACAGTCAGAGACTTCATACATTGATACCATGTTTTAGTCTGGCCACCTCGAGCCTTTTTCCGGCCTGGACCCACCTCAGTCAACATTGTGTGACGAGGCAGATTGCGACTAGGCATACGTAGTACGTGTTTCAACCATCTCATTCTATGTAGGTTCATAACCTCGTCAACTGATTAACCTCTTCTCCCTAAAACTCTACACCTAACTTCGAAATTACTCACATGGTGACACCACGGAATATGGCTTATACTACTAGGGTAACGGAGGTCAAATACTTGAAGCCTTTTTATATCTTTCACTTTCAATGGTCATGTTTCACAGCCATACAGTAGAACAGAGCGAACTGCTGTGCAGTTCATGCGATCCTTAATAGACAAACGGATATCATGGGGGCACCAAAGGTGGCGTAGGTTGGCGAAAGCCAATCGAGCCTTTTGTATCCATGCAAAGATTTCGGCTGCCACTGAGCCATCAGGGCTGATCCTACTTCCCAGGTAAATGAAGTGGTCAACACACTCAACCACTTCACTCTCTTCGGTTAGCCGCGGTACCGCTGAAGACCAGTCCTGGAGCAAAAATTTGCATTTGGGTGGTTAGAAACGCATCCCAAACATTCTCAAATTCCCACTCAAAGTGTTCAGAAGACTGCATCTTGTCAGCGACTTCAATTAACAGGACTATGTCATCAGAATATTCTAGGTCAAACGAAAATTCTCCTGTGATTAGGTCAACGTCTGTTTTGTCAGGTGACGAGAGGGAGACCTCCATGAGTATATCTATGATAAAATTAAATAGGAATGGAGATAGTGGGCGTCCTTGACGGACACCACTTGATGAGTATAGCTCCCTGGACAACTCGCCATAGGCTCTAACATTCCCACAAGTGTTCGAGTAGAGAGCTTTCAATGAGGTGATGTACTTACTAGGCACGCCTTTCAGTGACAGACATTGCCATAAGACTTCTCGATCAACGGAGTCAAATGCCGCCTTCAGGTCAAGAAATACAGCTATTGTCAGGCGTCTGTAAGCATGCCTATGTTCCAGGACCTGGCGCTGCGTGAATGTTTGGTCAGTACACCAGCGGCCAGGTCTAAAGCCTGCCTGGTTTTCTTGGGCTTGCTGTTCCCGAGCTCCACTCAGGTGTCGGAGAATTATAGAACCTAGGATTTCGGATGCTATGTTCGTCAGGCTGATTCCTCTGTGGTTATCACAAGAGGACTTCTCGCCTTTCTTGAAGACTGGGATAATGAGTGACTTGGACCAGTCGGAGGGAATCGCATTTGATTCCCATATTCTAGCTATCACTTCCGTTAACCTGACTAAGAGCACTCTACCACCATTCTTGTATACCTTAGCAGGTAGTCCGCCTGGTCCTGCTACCCTTCCTCGTTTCAGGTTACCTACCGCTTTCTCAACTTCTTTTAGTGTTGGGGGACCTATCTCTATGTCCCATTCAGGATCCGACTGGATAGCGGGCAACGCAATCGTGGCTGGAGGCCAGTTAAACTGTTCCTCGAAGTGTTCTGCCCATCGTTCCAGTCGTCTACACTGCGAGTGAATGATTTTGTTTCCACTAGTAATCGAACCCAAGATTAATCACATCAACTGTGATAGCGTTATCCACTAGGCTACCGAGTTGCGATAGCCGCTTGTTGTGCAACGGGTATAGTATAGTTTAGATGTCACAACTTGTGAATCTCGGTCACTGATCGGACACTAGCGTTATGCATGCTCCTGTGCGGATACCTTGGTACTGCAGGGATTCTCAATTCTGAAAATAATAACTTATGAAACCAGCACCCTAGATTTCATTGCTCACCACTCTCTATCACTAATATCAAAACAAATAAACCTTACTTTTTTGTGATATTTCTTGTTAGTTGTAATCATTAAGAATACACGCTACATCTAATCTCTTGGCGTCTTTTCATTCACATTCCTAGGGATTCGTATTTATCAAATAAAAAAGGTTTTCTATTAGTCTGTACCTTAATAACCAATGAAATTTTACACCGACATGAAGTTTGTAGCTCGGATGAATAATCTTGGATACGTCGAGTTCTCTGAGCTTGGTAGTTTAATCGTGAAGCTTTGATTGTCTTTCTAGAATATATTGTCAGGATTACATTCAGTATAAAGTGAATTATCAATGTTTCTTCATCAGCGATTCAGTAGTTTACCCCGAGGAAATGGTTTCTGATTGGTTGTTTTCTCTAACTGTTATGCCACTAACTGCATAGATTTTGCTCTTAGTCACCTGTCTGCCTGACCTCTGACTTTGTTAATGTCCATCATTCTTCCTATCAGTTGACGGATAGGGTCTATGTCTAGGCATCTACTGATTGCTGACTGACCTGAATGTCAAGCTTCTAGAAATTCTGTCATATTCTTTGTATTTCCTTCGTCCAGGATCTCTACACTTTCAGAATTGAATTCATTTACATATTTACCAATGCCCATAGAAATAAGTGATGAAGTGTTGTGTCATTTAATAGCCATTTTGGTGTTCATGTAGACGAAGGCGAAGAGGGTGACCACTTTCTTCAATGTAGTATTGACTACAGTTATTGCAGTTGATTTTGTAAATGATATTCGGTTTGTCATCCTTGGTTGTTGCGTCCTTTGGTGTGCATAATAATGTTTAGAGGGAGTTTGTTGGTCTCAGTAATATATATATTCTTTATGTATGGTAGGACGATCCGTCTCTTGATTCTTGTCAATGACTGAAGTTGTACGGGATAGGCATCTTCTGATAAAGTTTTGTGGGTAGCCATTCGTCTCCGTAATAGACATTAGGTGATTTTCTTAGTTTCTCCGTGAAGTTGTTGTACTGCTGTGTGTTCTTGCTTTATGGAATAGAGTTTACACGCAACTAATTTTATGAATTTTTGTTTGGTGTAGTTGAGGATTCAATCAGTGTGTGTTGATTTCCTGTACACTTGATTTTCTAGTTTTTCGGCATTTTTGTTCTACTGACAAAAGTATCCAAGAATAGCAGTTTGTTTTTCGACTAATTCTCCACTATGAATTTGATGTCATCGAAAACGTTATAGATCAAACTGTAAGTGTTTTCTGAATCATCATTTTTCAATGATAACAAAAGTATCATCTACACGATGTACTCAAATTTTCTGTCCAATCATAAGTAAATTTATGGTTTTCGGTCTCTGAATTACTACTTCTGCAATTAATGCAGACTTTGGTCAACTAATTGGGGCTTTTTTCATCTATTGCTACATCTTACCATTAAATTGGACCTATTTCGTTAGATAAAGGATAATAATTTGGATCAGACTTAAAGATTGAAGTTTTTTGAGGGTTCTGATCTACTGACGTTTTCACTTAAGAGGATAAACATAATATTTTTAGCAAGTTGTCGTTCAACTGATATATATAATGCTGTTACTCCATAAGATGCCATTAATTCGTCTTTTTCTGTGTTGATACCTTTCAACCCTTCCAAGAATTCTGTCGTTGAGTTGATGGAATTTCCACAGGAGTCCATGGGTTATTTCAGTTCAATCAAAATCTCTCCATGGATAGATTGTAAGTTGGGGTCCTGCGGAATGAGACGTTTGATCTTAGAGGAAGTCTTATGTGTGGTTTTGGTCCAACGCGAAGCCGTTTCGATGAGTTAGCTAGGCGTAAATATTCGCCCGAAGAATAGAGTGGTTTCACTTGATATCTTGTTATTATTTTACAAACATTAGTAGAATTTCCTTGTGATACTTCATTGAATCATGAAATCTAAGTATCAGTATGTAAGAGTATTAGCTGAGAGAAATTTTTTCCAGTGGTACATTCAACGTTTACCAAAGGTTAATTACTGGAAAGATAGACTAATTGTATCAAGTATTGGACTGTAATAAATACATTTCTGCAAGGATTATAATTATTCGAAAAAACCACTTACAGTCAAAGTGATATGTTCAGATAGATCACGCCAACTTCGAAGTAGTAAATCTTTACCTCCACACTATGAACAGTAATAAAGAACAAAAAGAAAAGTATATGAGTGAGAGAAGAAAAGGAATTGTATTGAACTCTTGATTTTAATTGTAAAGGTAGAACAACTCAACTTCTTCAACATGGCAACAAGCTTTTCAAGGAGGATGCTAAGAAAACGTTGTGAAATCCAATTTTCAGACTTGATTGTTCTCACTTGAACATTCCTCATGAAATGACATCAGTTGGAGAGCCAGTGAAAATCTGGAAACACTGGTAGAGTAGAATCGTAGATTCGCACCGCTGAGGAGCCCCGGACTAGGACGAAACAACTATCACCAGTTTATACATCCTTTTAGTGACTACCTACTATAACTCGAACTATATATATGTGAAAGCTCAGGTTCATTCCTCTGATGATTACTCACTTTCTCGATATATGAAAACAGTGACAATATAATAGCAGGTGTATTGCAACGTCAAAAGTATGTACAAAATACGATAGTTTATATATATATCTGTAATGGTTTTTGCTATTTTCCAGACCCTTCTATATTTCAGGTTGGTATTCATCATGAAGTGAGATCAGTGGGAGAAACACTGGAAACTTTGGAGCATGGAATAGCTGTTTAGTTCTAGTATGGGACTCCTTGACAGTGCCAGGGATCGAACTCAGGACTCTCAGGTACCTTGGCCTGCACGTTACCACTGAATATGTTCCTTTGGTTTTTGCCCCTCCAACAAATCGCGCATTTACACGTTGGTTTACGTGCTCTATCTTAAAACGTCTATGCAACATGAGTGGCTGTAAAAGGCTTCGGGAGGATACTGCTTTTCATGAAGATCATGGACATCATATTCCACACCATAATATAGGTAATCCCAGGTTTTCAGTAGTTCTGCAGCTGATGTCAGTTTGTAATGAGTGTCAACTTGAAATTTGTGTAGTCGTCATCAATGCTCAAAGAAGTCAACCATTATGCATGTATGTACTATACTAAGCTATTTAAACTACAGACGGGACAGACACAGATGACGATGTCGAAACCAGGATAGGAAATACAGCAAGATAGGTCTTCAATAATCTAAAATCAGTGTGGAGATCTACTGCACTGCACTCCACTCAGCATAGAGAATAAGATTTGGATTTCAAACACTAATTCAGTCAAGTCAGTCAGTGCTTCTATGTGACGGTTGAGAGAGTTGGCGTGTTAAGAAAAGCATTTCGAACAAACTGCAGACGTACATCACATCAACATCTGCCGTCTACGCTCACTCGATACTGCAGATGGAGGGAGATCAGATGGCCAGAATAATAAGAAAGAGCAACAAAGAAATTTGGCAGGCTGGCTGGCAACGAACCAACCAACTAAGAACCTATCGCCCAGGTAGTATGCAGAAGAAGAAACTGGTGTAAAATTGGATTGGATTAGATTGGACATAAACTGAGAAGACCGTATGGGGACGTCACGCATCAGATCAGACTCCCGAGTGGAACCAGCATGGAAGACCACGAGTTGGTTGTCTGAGGCGAGGATGACATGGAGGAGATGGTGTGAGGAAGAAATGAAAGCTTGTAGGCAATCGTGGAGCCAGGTTGAAAACACTGTAGAGAAGAGAACGCAATGTAGACATGCTACTGAACCCATATGTCCCACTAGGAACCAAAAGGACAAATAATAATATGATAATAAAGCTGTTAGCTACATCGAGTTGTAAATGTACACCTAGTGTATATTGTTTTCCTCTCCAGTTTTGTAAATTCCTAAAGGTTCTTTTTGACTGTATAAAGTAACTGATACACTGAAACATATTCAATAAAACAGTGGTAGGAGATATCAAAGAGTCTTGACAGCAAAATCGGAAGATTATCCAACAACGAAAATTCAACTTGAATAATACGAGATTGAAATATCAGTAACATTGGTTATAACAATAATGATACTGTTACGAGTTGACATACTAACGTTGAGTAGGAACTAAAAGGGTTCACCTAAGATTTTCAATGTCTCTTATACGGTACATATTGATTACAAAAGGGTCAAAAAGTAGTAGAGTTTATAAACAATCTAAGAATTGATTAGTCAATATGAATGAGACAAGTTAAATGGGATAAATTGAAAATGTTTTGTTAAGAACTGAAATGATTACGAAGACTAAACATAGTAACATAGGAAAGTAATGAATGTAAAAATCACCACTTTAGTATTAGTGATGATGATAATGATGAAATATAAGAGCTGTTCCACCCTAGTATGGGACTCCTCAGCAGTGCGCACTCATTACCACGCACCCCCAGGGATCGAACCCGCAACCTTCAGGTTCCATGACCAGCACGTTACCATTGAGCTCGCCACTGGGTCACAATCCAATGCTCCATATTTCCAACTTATGTTAGCTCACCATCTAGCGCAACCGCCACACAGTGTCATCTTTGAGTAACTGTCCTCACAAACATCAGGCTTCGCCTCCACCAGTCACCACTTCTCATTGGAACTTCGGCAGTAACTCTCAAAGCTTGTCACCAATGATCACCAGTTCAATTGAATTTTGAGGGAGTTGTGAGGATTTGAAAATATTTCAAGTTGTTATTCATCGCAGATTGACATCAGTTGTAGATGATCGTGAGCTAACAGAAGTTGGAAATATGGAGCACTGGATTGTGACCCAGTGGCTAGCTCAATGATAACGTGCTGGCCATGGAACCTGAAGGTCACGGGTTCGATTTGGGGAGGTTGGGGTGATGGGTGCGCACTGCTGTGGAGTGCCATACAAGTGGGACGAAACAGCTGTCTAATGCTTCGATGTTTCCTTTGTTCCTTCAACTGATATCAGTCTGCGATGAATAAGAACTTGGAATGTTTCGAAATCCCCACAACCCTCTCAAAATTTAAGATGAAATTAGTTTAAGACCAAGGTAGAAACAAAGACTGTCCATACTTCTTTTTCACACAAAGGTGACGATCATGAGGAAGATAAACTTCATTCTTATACTCTACAATCGAATACGTAATATTTGCAGTATAGACTGTGTTCAAGTTTAATTTGACTTTGTAAGAGGAAAGCTTGTGAAAACCGACTGTCCTTGGCCATTCGTTGATAAAAATGTGTTAGAAAGACATGAGAAACTAGTCATCAACTCAGTTTCTAAGAAGACATTGTTCATGAATCTGGAATTTAGTGGTGAAGGAGTATCAGATATCCTAGAAAATTGTTTTTTGAGATCAACTAGTAGGATATTTTTCTCTGTCTACCCTCATCTTACCTATATCAGTCCTAAATTGTTCTCTGTTTCTGTATAAGACAATGTCCTTCGACAGGTTACCTCTATGTCTATCTATCAGTACTCCTGCTCCTGTAGAGCAAAGGTACACTGGCCGTCAGCACAGACTGTTGTCAATAGATATACCAGTGTATTAGAAGTTTTATCCTTGAACTTCTAATCGACTTTAACCAATTAACTGACCCAAACAATGATTTTAAGGTCGTCTATCAGATTCATTCAAACATTCGGTCACGTTTTCTGCATTTTCGACTTCAGTAAACAACGCAGCCCTCTTAGCTGTCAGTGAACGAAAGCTTGAACTCTGTGTAAAAAAAGAAGTATGTACAGTCTTTGTTTCTACCTTGGCCTTAAACTAATTTCATCTTAATTTGCTTCGTTTCATAAATGTATGTTACAATTTCTCCTTTTGTCAGATTAATCTCTCTACTCTTATATCATCACTAATACTAAAGTGGTGATTTTTACATTTAGTAGTTACCGAGGTTACTATGTTTAGTCTTCGTAATCATTTCAGTTCTTAACAAAACATTTTCAATTTATCTCATTTAACTTGTCTCATTCATATTGACTAATCAATTCTTAGATTGTTTATAAACTCTACTACTTTTTGACCCTTTTGTAATCAATATGTACCGTATAAGAGACATTGAAAATCTTAGGTGAACCCTTTTAGTTCCTACTCAACCGTTAGTATATCAACTCGTAACAGTATCATTATTATTATAACCAATGTTACTGATATTTCAATCTCGTATTATTTAAATTGAATTTTCCTCTTGGATAACAGTCTTGAAATGCCAAGCGAATGCACACCTTGAGAATATATTGGCTTAAAGGAGTCCTTTTCACTGATTGTCTTTTTTTTCAGATCACGATAGGGAACTCAAATTCCTAGTGAGAATGATGCATTTCCTATCTAAACCTTCAGATTTACAGAAGCTGAGTTGATAATTTTGAATTATTTTCACCTAATTTTGCATTTAATTTACAACGTTGACTAAACTTTCATAAACATACTCTGGAATTTAGTTGATGAATGTTCACACACATCAGTTTGTGTACGTCTATCGTGATCTATTACCTTTTTTCTTTAAGCTTAGGTATTCATGCATTTAACTTTTAAGATGAGTTTAGACACTATTTCTTGTAAGTGAAATGGATGTAGTTTTCATGTATGTTTCACGTAGATGCCTATAATAAATCGAGAAATTGGGTTAACTGGAAAAAAATCATTCTATGATACATGAGATGTTTAGCAGTGTCGCCTGTTTTTAGCTTTTATCACTCATTTTATGTCTGTCTATGTAATAATGTCACCATCTGCGTACTTTGTTATTCTTCCTGCCTTACCACTCCTCAACAATCACTGTGTAATGATCAGCTTGTGATTGTATTGTGTTCTTTGAGCTGGGTTGTTCAGTTGTGGAGCTTCCATCGTCTTGATAGACAACATCATCAACAATAACTTCAGTATGAAGTGAACTATCAACATCTCCCCATCAGTGATTTAGTAGCTTGTCCTGATGAACTGGTTTGTGATTGGTTGTTTCCTTTAATTGTTGTCTCGTTTACTGCTTACATTTTCCTGTTAGCTCTTCCTCTGGTTCACCTCTCACCTTTGTATCGTTTATCATTTTTCTGGTTGGTTGATAGATTACGTCTATGTCTATACATCTATTGATTGCTGAATGACTGACCTGAATGCCAAGCTTCTAGGAATTTTCTCATATTCTTTGTGATTCTTCTCTCCATCCAAGATTTCTACATTGTCGAAATTGAATTCATATCCATAGTTGTTATCCCCGTGCATTGAAATGAGTGGTGAAGTGTTGTGTCGTATAATGGCCAGTTGGTGTTCACGTAGATGAAGGCGAAGAGAGCCACCACCTTGTCCAGTGTAGTGTTCTCCACCATTTCAATGATTAGCTTGTTCCAGCTAAGGTGTTATTTTTACTCTTAAAAAACCCAATGAGACGCTACAAAGAAAAGAGACTGTAATGGCGATACATCAGACTGAAATGACTTTTCAGTAATACTAAGCACAATTATGAGTTGTAAAAGAATCGAATATGAACAAGTTTCATAGTAATCATGATCTGAGTATCTAAAATAGCCGTAGTTTGGCAGACTAGTATTTGTACTAGGTGATGAGTGAAGGTGAGATGAAAATCTGGACCGCGGCCGGATTCAAACCATCGACCACCGGCCGCGGTTCAAATTTTCATCTCATGCTCAATAATCACCCAGTACAAATTCATAATAATCATCAATCCGATAGCACACCTTCTTCAAGTATTATATTTAATAGGAACAGAATAGAATGAATGAGTAAATAATTTTCATACAAATACATAGTGTTTACTTACTCCAGCGTAGAAAAGTTTATTTTTCAAACGACTATTGAATTTCTCAGGATTAGCTTCTGTACAAATAAAAAAAATACATGAGAAGGAAGAACTAAAAATCACACTAAAAAGAAAGGATGATTTGAAGACAAGTGGAATGCAAAAGAATAAAAGTTTTCTTAATCCTAACACATCTGGAGGCAGCGAAGACGGGACTTCAGGTGAATATAGAGAAGACAGAAGTGATGAAGATACCGCACCACCACCACCGCCAACAACAACAAACTCCAGTCACCATCAACGGGAGAAACTTAAAGGAAGTAACCTCCTTCACTTATCTAGGAAGCACTGTTTCAACTACAGGCGGGACGGACGAGGACGTCAAAGTCAGAATCGGAAAAGCAAGACAGGCGTTCATTAGCCTGAAACCAGTGTGGAGATCTTCTGCACTGCACTCAGCATGTGGAACAAGATCGGGATTTTCAACACCAATCCAGTCAAGTCAGTGCTTCTGTATGGTTCAGAGACTTGGCGCGTCATGAAAGGGATTTCCAATGAACTACAGACATTCATCAACAACTGCTTACGCTGGCTACTGAAGATCAGATGGCCAGAATAATAAGAATAAGCAACAAGGAACTCTGGGAACGAACCAACCAAGAACCTATCACCCAACAAATATGTAGAAGGAAGTGGAGATGGATTGGGTATACACTGAGAAAGCCGACTGGGGACATCATGCTGAGGCCAGGCCCTCGAGTGGAATCCCCATGGGAAGTGACGAGGTGGGCGTAGGAGATGAGGGTGACATGGAGGAGATCGTGCGAGGAGGCAATGAGAGCTTGTTGGCTGTCTTGGAGCCAGGTTCAAAAGATTGCAGAGAACAGAGTGTACTGGAGACGTGCTACTGAAGCTTTATGTTCCATTAGGAACCCAAGGGACTAATAATAATAATAATAATAACACATGTAGATAATGTAGACCTCTTGTCTTCACTTTATACACAAATAATGTAAAAGTTTTGTTTGCACGTAAATTTCCCTAGTTATCTTTATTTAGTAAACCGATTTCAAATAATAAAATTTATTTCAAGTTGTTATTCATCGAAGACTGACATCAGTTGGAGGAACAAAGGAAACCTGGGAGCACTGGACAGCTGTTTCGTCCGACTAGTATGGGACTCCTCAGCAGTGCGCACCCACGACCCCACCAGCAGGGATCGAACCCGCGACCTTCAGGTTCCGCTACCAGCGCGTTACCATTGAGCCACTGAGTCAGAATCCAATGCTCCATATTTCCAACTTCTGTTAGCTCACGATATAGCGCAAACCACCACTGATGTCAGTCTTCGATGAATAACAACTTGAAATATTTCGAAATCTCCACAACCCCTCAAAATTTAATAAAATTTATTGTCTATGAACAAATTTTTTATTATTGTATCAATTTCACTTCCATCCTGCTGTAGCATCATAAGCATTCATAAGTTTTTTACACCCTAAAGTCTTTCTTATAGGCGTTACCATTACGCATAATATTCGTGCTTTGCTGAACCAACTAATTCAATTTCCGACTTCACCACAAACCTAAACACAGCATAAGTGATTACCTCACATTCTATTGTGTTTAACAGTTTACATGAGTGTGTGTGTGTGGTCAAACATACATAGAGAGGAGTAATTGAGACATACAGTTGACAGTGGGAGAACATGTACCTCAACGGCTTCAAAAATAAATAAAGTATGAAACCATGATAAACGCTAGTGGGAGACGATCTTATTCATCTATAGTTGGACATATTATTGAATCAGGTCAAAAAATAAATGTTCAGACGGCTCTCTAAGTATTATGTAGAAAAAATCAGAGACGTGTACACTGAGATTTGCGAAAGCGATACACAAATTGTGTGTGTACGACAGCACCTTGTTCTTACGCACTACACCTACCTCGGTAAACCTTGTTATCTTACAAAGATTAATATCAACTATATCACTTTCTAGTATAATTGTTTTTACATCATACCGTTACTGAATGGATCAAATTGATCTATCTCTATAGACATTTGGGCTCTTGTGCGGATGCCTCGATATTACCTGCGGCTAGCAGTGGAATCCAGGATGCGCATTTCGTCCTATTTGGGACTCATTAGCTGAATGTACCTGCACCACAGTGAGTGATGTTGTTCACACTGGGATTTGAACTCGGGAGTGATTGCTTCAAACACGAGAGCGTTATCCACTACACCATCGAGCCACGATAGCCACTTTTTGTGCGACGCGTGGAGTTTCAGTATAATTGCTTGTATTATATAGTCGTTGATTGGACCTAATTGATCTTTCTCTATCCACCTCTACTATAGCTAGAACACAGGTAATATCAAGGCATCCACGCAGAAGGCCATATGCCAACAGAGACTGATCAATTCGGTCTAATCAACGACGATATAATACAAGTAATAATACTAAAACCATACTCAACGCACAAGGAGTGGCTATCGTGGCTCGATGGTGTAGTGGATAACGCTCTCGTGTTTGAAGCAATCACTCCCGAGTTTAAATCCCGGTGGGAACAACATCACTCACCGTGGTGCAGGTACATTCAGCTGATGATTCCCAAATAGGACGAAATGTGCATCCTGGATTCCAATGCTAGCCACGATCCATCACTAACATATCACTTCCGGTTTGTTCTTATCTTTCTTAATCTTTATATATATATATATATATATATATATATATATATATATATATATATATAGCGCAGTGTTAAAACATTATTTACTTCATGACGTTAACAGCATAAATTATTACTGCTCATAATCACATCAGTGTACTCACACTACTTTCAACATCTGATTTTTATAGACCTCTCATCTCGTATTCTTTGTTTCTGTTGTTAGTAAGAGTTTCTCTGTCCCTAGTATATGTGTTGCGTCATGTATCAGGTGTTGATTCGATAAACAAAGATTCAACGATCAATCTCTCTCTCTCTTCTTCTACCCAATTAAATTTGACTTGAGTACAGTGGTTTTATCCCACCCCTCCATGACTGATTTTGTGTAAATGCATCCATTGCAACAAACGAAGTTCTCTTCTAGCTTATCGATCTTATTGAGGTCTGTCATTCTACATTTAGCCGAATTCCTATGTTCCGCTAACCTGACTGACCCCGATCGATTAGTCTGACCTATGGACATGACCTGACTCACAGTCATCATATGGAATTTGATAGATTCAGTTGTTTTGCCTAATTGGTTCTATCGGATCCTCAAGCCAGCCGACAAAGCTTACCTTTGAGTGAGTTTGTAGGTTCAAATGCCACCCTAATTCCAGCTTTGTTGAGAATCCTATATAAGATTTCTGATGTTCCTTCCTCCCTTATATGGTAACCAAACAGGGGCTTTTAACTTATTTCTACTCATATCGTCACCATTATTCGTATCCGTATTACTGTTATCCTTATGTTTCATATGTGTTTGTACAAAACTGACTGGCCATTATTGGCATATCATAATAATATGACATTACAATTATTATACATGAAGTACCTACTGCATAAGAGTAAAACTTGGGTATTTTTTGTGGGATATATGTATTATATACCATGAGAATTGCAGACTGTTTTTCACGCAATATATGCAGTTATGTATAATCGTGCACTAAGGCCTTTCCATGTCTTACACTGCAGATCTGCTTTGAGAATTTAAGTATGAAGGTTTAGTTATTTCTACCTACACTATCACTCTCAATGCTACTGCTGGCACACGTTGGTACTAATGCTGTTATAGATTCGTTTGAAGACTAACCAGCTAGCTGGATAACACAATGTTTGATCACTGGATGATAAGTTCTAAGAGCATATGAAATTTCTACGAGTTCTGTTAACAATATGAGGGATAAGAAATAGCTCATTTCAGTGTTTCTTGGTCAGTTTAAGGTTTTAAAAGTCATTTACTTAGTAATCCTATCTGACCGTGGTACCAATCAGTAAGGTGAATTTAGCAACTCATTCAGTAAACAATTCTTTCATGTAATCCAAGCAGTTCGTAATCGCTTAAAAAATTTTCCAGCAAAGATTTTTACTTTAGTGATCAAGTCGAAATCAAAGTCCTGAGCACCATAATGCTACTGAGATGCGGGTGAGCAGCAGGACCAGATGAAATCCCGCCAGAAGCACTGAGAACAGACTCAGAGACAACAGCGGATTTGCTCATACCACTATTACAGTAGGATTGAAAGGAAGTAAAGGTACCTGGCGATTGGAAGAAGGGCTATCTTGTCACACTCCCGAAGAAGGGTGACCTAAGCCTTTGCAAGAACTGGCGTGGCATCAAGCTCCTGTTCACCCAAAGCAAGCAAAATATTAGGCCGCATCATCCTGGAGAGACTAAAGGATGCATTGGATTCAAAACTAAAACGGACCAGGCTGGATTCAGGAAGCACGAATCATGTGCGGATTAACGTTATGCTACGCATACCACAGAACAGAGTATAGAATGGCAGTCAACTCAACTCTACCTCACCTCAACTCCATCGACATTCAAAAGATTTTTGACAGCGTCGACCGAGTAATTTCGCAGGCGACTGCTTCAACACTACGGAATACCACAAACCTTTGCCAGCCTTGTTCAACAACTATATGAAGATGCCACATGACAGGTAATTCATAATCGGAAGCTCAGTGATGCTTTTGAAGTGAAGACAGGAGTAAAAACAAGGCTGTCTACTATCATCCATGATATTTCTGATTCTAGTGCACTGGATCATGCAACAAACTGTGAGGAGCAAGAAGAGGGGGATACGCTGGACCGAGGAAAAGATCCTGGAAGATTTGGATTTTACCAACGATGATGATTTGTGTCTAATGTCTCATAAACTTGAAGATCTACAGGCGAAAACTAACAAGTTGACAGAAGAGGCAGGGCAGGGCAGCGAAGAAGAGACTTCCTTCAGGTGAACGTACAGAAGACACAGGTAGAGGTGATGAAGATACTTAACCAACACCTCCATCAACAACAACAAGCTCCAATCACCATCAACGGGAGAAACTTGAAGGAAGTAACCTCCTTCACCTATCTAGGCAGCACTGTTTTAACTACAGGCGGCACAGAAGAGGATGTCAAAGTCAGAATCGGAAAAGCAAGACAGGAGTTCATTAACCTGAAACCAGTGTGGAGATCTACTGCACTGTACTCAGCATGTGGAACAAGATCGGGATTTTCAACACCAATCCAGTCAAGTCAGTGCTTCTGTATGGTTCAGAGACTTGGCGCGTCATGAAAGGGATTTCCGACTAACTACAGATATTCATCACCAACAACTGCCTACACTGGCTCGTTACTGAAGATCAGATGGCCAGAATAATAAGAATAAGCAACAAGGAACTCTGGCCGGGCAACGAACCAACGAAGCAAGAACCTTTCGGTGAACAAATATGTAGAGGAATAAAGTGGAGATGGATTGAATTTGGCATACACTGAGATGGCTGACTGGGGATATCACGTGTCAGACCAGGCCCTCTAGTGGAACCCAGATGGAAGCGACGAGTTGGGTGTCCTAGGCGAGGATGACATGGAGGAGATCGTGCGAGGAAGAAATGAGAGCTTGTGTGCTGTCGTGAAGCCAGGTTCAAAAGATTTCAGAGAACAGAGTGCGCTGGAGACGTGCTAGTGAAGCCCTATTTTCCATTAGGAACCCATGGGACAAATAGTAATAATAATGAAATAAGCAAATTCAAATTTCCAAGGATGGATGGTTTTTCACAAAGATACCTACACACCTGAAGACTGTTTATCAAGACGCATGAAACAATATAACTTCGTTATATTCCACGAACAACAACTAGCATTGAAAGGGAGTATTCACAGAATACAGAGTGCATAACCACTTCCCTATTCTTTTCTATATTCTTCTTTGACAATATTCGATTATATTACTTGTGACAGGAATCAGTAGTAATAAGGTTTATTTCATTATTATTTATTTTTAAGTTAGTAGTTAAGCCACCAATTGAATTATGAATTCAATAAAAACAGTTAATAATTGACTGATATCAGAAACTGTGAATCAGTAAATTTCAATCCTGTAGTTCAGTAGCTAAGGCGTTGATTGTGAAACCTTAAAATCCTGAGTTCGATCGCTGGCAGGGTCATGAGTGCGTACTTCTGAAGAGTTCTATGCTACGACGAAATAGCTGTCTATTATCTCCTGATTTTTAATGATCTCTAGAAGTAACGCCTAATTAATCTCAATATGCAGTAACCAGTAGCTTCATTTTAAGATAAACTAAATGTTCGCTTAACGATATCAGGATGATGTATTTTTTCGAGAAGCAGGTTGCAAGTTTATACAACAGGTAGACGGTTAACACAAAGATTTTACTGATGAATGAAACTGAAACTTTTCTAGTAATTATTATTACCATTATTTGTCCTTTGGATTCCTAGTGGAATATAGGGCTTCAGTAGCAGGTCACAATTTCACTCTGTTCACAACAGTCTTTTCAACCTCGCTCCACAACTGCTCACAAACTTTCATTTCTTCCTTACATCATCTCCTCCATGTAACCTTTGCCTCAGATGCCTCACCAGTCGTCTCTCCTTTGGATTATACTTCAGGACCTGACCTGGCACATGATGTCTTCAAATGGTATTCTCAGTGTATGCCAAATCCATCTACACTTCCCTCTTCTCCATTTTTGTAGGGTGATAGATTCTTGGTTGCTTCATTCCCATAGTGAGTTCCTTGCTGCCTACTCTTATCATTCTGACCATCCAATCTCCCTCCATATTCAGTATCGAGTGAGTCTAGGAGGTGACACCTGTTCATGTATGTCTTCACTTTGTTGGAAATGATTTTCACAACACGCGAAATATCTCAACCATCACATAGAAGCACTGACTGAATTGACTGAACTACTGTTGGAAATGTGGATGTTGTTCACGCTTTATGCTGAGTGAAGTGAAGTGAAGTGCAGTGCAGTGCAGTAGATCTCCACACTGATTTCAGATCAATGAAGGAAGGCCAATCGTGCTGTGCTTCTGATCCTGTCATTGACATGCTGATGTGTGCTACCACGGCCGCCGCCTTTAGTTGAGACGATGCTGCCTGTTTGGGTGGGTAGGAGGGTGAAAGAGACTACTTCCTTCAGGTTTCCACCATTCATAGTGATTGGTGCATGTTGTTGTTGTTGTTGGTTGGGTATCGTATCTTCATCACCCCTACCTCCGCCTTCTCTACGTTCACTCGTAGTCCCGTCTTCGCTGCTCTCCCTCTTCTACTAACTTGTTGGTTTTCGCCTGTACATCTTCGAGTCTGTGCTACAAGACATCAGACACAAATCATCATCGTTGGCCAAATCCAAATCTTCTTCTGGTGTCTTTTCATTGATCAAATAGCGTATGCCGATCTTCTTACTGCTCGCAGCTGTTTGTTGCATGATCCAGTCTAGTCGACCTAAATCAGGAAGATGATGAGTGATAGTAGGCGGCAACCTTGTCTTACTACTGTCTTCAATTCGAAGACGTCATTGATCTTTGCTTTGTGGACCACTCGGCATGTGGCTTCTTCATATGGCTGTTGTTGAATAAGATTGATAAAGGTTTGTGGCACTAAAACCGTAGTGTTGAAGCAGTTGCCTGCTAAATTAGTTTTCGCTCGACGTTGTCGAAGGCCTTTTCAAAATCGATGAGTGTTATAGGACTATGCAGTATAACTAATTTTATGTGTATATATTGAAGTTGGTTAATTAATTGACAATTCAGTGAATATATTTTAGTGTAGAACAAAGATTTCAAGTCTTATTTACTGTTAACCTTGCGTACTAACAACATTGAACTTTCAATTCCTTCTCTAAGATGAGATGTAGAAGAAAAAGGTTACTTTAACTTTTTGCAAATTAAAATGCATATTTAACTATTTATCCAGTCGTGATGGCCTTGCATATAAGTGGTTGTTTCTCCCAAAGTCTTATCATTGCCCATATATTTAACTCAACTGGTTGTTCTGTTTACATGGACTTCGACTTTCATATTGTTTCTTATTGGTTGATAGATAGGGTCTGTTGATTAGTGCGGCATTTTTGCAGTCAAATTTATTTCTTAGATATATTGGAAATACAAAGGATGCCAGAGCATTTTAACAAGCTTGATATTTACACTGGTCACTAATCAACGGACATATTGGCACTGACCTAATCTGTCAACTAATAAGGAACAATAAGAAGTTCAAAGTTCACGTAAACAGGACAACCAACAGAAATAAATATCAAGACAATAACAGGACCTTGACAGAGATAACCAAACACACACATACGCACAAGGCTATCAGGACAAGCTACTAAGCTCTTTTTGGAGGAAGTCCTATAGCTTAATTCTTTTTAAAGTTTGTGCTGATGACGTTGTCTAGAATAGATGTAGTTTATTAGTTTAAATAACTTAACTTTATGCAATAAATACACAGCTGGAATTCTGATCCAGCAATTTCGTTCCAAGCAATCAGGTTATATCATAATCCGTCATATTGTGAGTTTCATCACATAGTAGAAAGACCCGTACCAGGTTGTGTTGTATCATTATTATTATATTTAATTGGTTATTACAATGGTTTTTAGTATAAGGGGTTTTTATTTGATACCGTCGTTGATTGGACCGAATTGATCGGTCTCTATTAGCATATGGGCTCCTATACGGATGCCTCGATATTGCCAGCAATCTAATTATGTTAATGAGGGATGGTGGTTAGCAGTGGAATCCGGGATGCGCATTTCATCCTATTTGGGACTCGTTAGCTGGATGTACCTGCTTCCCAGTGAATGATGTTGTTCCCACCGGGATTGGGACTAGGAAGCAGATACATCCAGCTGACGAGTCCTAAATAGGACGAAATGCGCATACTGGATTCCACTGCTAGCCACCATCCATCATCAATATTACAATGGTGCTTCATTGGGTTATCTTGTGATGAAATATTTACAAGAACTATTGAATGAATTCATTAGTTCATTTAAGATCGTTCATAGGAAATACCGTTTCTCTTCCAGACTACTCAGTTGATTAATTTATTTCAATGCTTCTCAGTGATTTCATTTCAGATAGCTTTTTCAAAGTTTTAACAGAAACTTATATCCTTTAAAGTCAATAAATTTGGATAATGTAGACATCTACTTACCGACATGACTTTTTCTCAATGGCTTCATGTTTTGAACTGATGGAAGTTAGACACATGGTTAAATAGTAACCAGTTCTTAAGTGAGACCATTTACTACTTGAATCGTTTTTATAGTTCAAAGGAAACTTACACCTCAATCAAACATCTACTGAGTATTCTCAATTTCTGAGATGAGGTATCTAGATGATATCAATCCATTCATCCATGTATTGCTAAAAAATTAAGTCGAATCGATGGAAATTAGCTATCAAACATCGCCTTGCAGTCTATTTAGTGATCAGAAGAGGAGTTTAGGATAAGTGTTTCATCCTGGATGTAACTGCATTACGGTGACTCATGTTGTTCCCACTGAGACTCGAACTCAGTAATCATAGATTTAAACGCCAAAGCGTTGTTTTCTCCGTCCAGTTATATCTTTCAAATTGTTTTGAATACACTTTCAAACCTCCCTAAAAACTGTTATGTATGCATATAATACTGACTAGTAATTATGAAATAAAAACTGTCAAGTTGAACATTTGTTTCCCAACGATAAGCATACCTCTTGACTCATGGAACTCAAGAGCTGTTGCTGCATCTGCACCAAGTGAGAAATAGTTATTAAATACTTTCAGTGGTAGAGCATCACATATTGGTCGGCTTTTACTGGAATCACCTTCTTCCTCGGTGTCCGGCGTTTGTTGTACCGTCGGTAGATCTGTGCGTACTTCACTATTCACCTGCCATCTTTATTAAGATATCCCAAAAGAAAAAAAAAGGAATTATAATTTTTCCAACAGTATACAAACAGAAGGATGAAATTATTTAAGGAATGATAAAAAGCAATTTGAGGTAACGTGCTGGCCATGGAACCTGAAGGTTGGGGTTCGATCCCTGGCGAAGTGAGGGGTGTACACTGCTGAAGAGTCCCATACTACGATGAAACGGCTATGCAGTGCTCTCATGTTTCCTATCTTTCTCTAACTAATGTTATTCCATGATGAATACCAACTTGGAAAACCACTAAATCCCCACAAATCCCCAAATTCAACTGATCCAGTGTTCATTGTTGACTAGATTCGGGAGGTGATTCCTGAAGTTCCAATAAAAAGTCGTGAGGACAAATGCCTAACGATGACATTGAGTGATGGTTGCACTATGTCGTGAACTGAAGGAAGTTGGAAATATGGACCACAGGATTTCGATCAAGTGGCTTAATGGTAACCTGGTGACCACGGAACCCCAAGGTCCTGGGTTAGATCCCTGGAGGTGCGAGGTCATGGGTGCGCACTGCTTAGGCGTCCCATACTATGACAAAAGAACTGTTAGTACTCTAAGGTTTCCATTGTTCCTGCAGCTGATGTCTATCCATGATAAATATTAAATTGAAAAATCACTAAATCCTCAGAAACCCCCAAATTCAACAAGAGAATATTCATTTTGATAACTTCTTCTTCTGGTCCTATAGTTACATTTATACACTTAGGTATTATGCGCCGACAATTTGAGATTTCGATAATCGGTTTGCTAATAATATTATACAGTTAGGGATACCAATTCGGTTTTGAGTGAACTTCAATGATAGAATCAGTTATTACTAGAATCCAATAGCTGTATTTCTCTACCTGAAGGCGGGATTCGACTCCACTGGTTGAGAAGTCTTATGGCAATGTCTCTCACTGAAAGGTGTGCCTAGTAAGTACATCACCTTACTGAAGGCTCTCTACTCGAGCACTTGTAGGCTTGTTAGAGCCTATGGTGAGGTGTTCGGGGAACTGTGCTTGTCGAGTGGTATCTGTCAGAGGTGCCCACCTTCTCCATTCTTATTCAGTTTTATCATAGATATTCTCATTGAGGTCTCCCTCTCGTCACCTGACCACATAGAAGTTGACTTAATCTAGGAGGATTTTCGTTAAATCTAGAATATGCAGCTGACATAGTCCTGTTAGGTGAAGACGCCAACAAGATGCAGAGTCTTCTGAACAATTTGAGTGGGAATTTGAGAATGTTTGGGATGCGTTTCTAACCACCCAAATGCAAATTGCTGCTCTAAGGTTGGTCTTCAACGGTGCCCTACCGCGGCTTAAAATAGAGAGTGAAGCAGTTGAGTGTGTTGACCACTTCACTTACCTGGAATGTAGGGTCAGCTCTGGTAGCTCAATGGCCGACGAAATATATGCACTGATACAAAACGCTCGGTTGGCTTTTGATAATTTACACCACCTATGGTGCCGCCATGATATCCGTTTTTCTATTAAAGGTTGCGTATACTACACAGCAGTCCGGTCTCCTCTACTGTATGGCTGTGAAACATGGTCATTGAAGGTGGAAGACATGAGAAGGCTTCAAGTGTTTGATCACCGTTGCCTTCCTGGTATAAGCCGTATTCTGTGGTGTCACCGCGCAGAAGTCAGGCTCATGTGTAGAGTTTTAGGAGAGGAAATAAATCAGTTGACGAGGTTATGAACCTACGTCGAATGAGACGGTTGGCTCCAACATGTGTTACGTATGTCTAGTTACGGTCTGCCTCGTCACATAATGTTGGCTGAAGTAGGTCCAGGCTGGAAAAAAGCTCGAGGTGGCCAGACTAGAACATGGCATCAATGTATGAAGTCTTTAACCGTTGGTTTGAGTCATGTAGGGCGATGCAAACTAGGTGGTTGTGGTCGGCGGGACAAGAGGAACTAGTGGTCAGAGACTGACTCTAGGTGATCACATGGCTCAGAACCGATGTCAGTGGTGCAGATGTACCTCCTCACACAATATCCTCATCTTGACGATGCTGTGCTGAATCTCACCATTTTCTCATTCTTCCTTTCACTCTTTTAGCGTTTTATATTTCCTTTGACTGAATTCTGTTTCCTTCTTCCTCTTGCACTTCACTGCCTTTTTACTTCATGTGCTGGTATGAGCTGTGGCAAGTTGGACCCTTACACAGTAATACCTGGTCCTATTGGATGAGATAGATGAACGAGAATTCAATTCAGAATAACAATTGGTTATCCAGATGAGTATACGGAGTAGGTAATCCAATAAGGTGATGGTTTGATGAAACAAGGAACATCTACAGTATCAAATGTAAAAATCAGATAATTTGATTGAATTTGTTTGTTCTGAATTGGACCACAGTATTTGCAGAGGCAACAACAGTTTTTGAACGTATAACTCGAGTTTTTTGAGCTTGACTGCTACTACATATACAGTTGGATACATTCTGGAAAGTTCATGCAAATCCGGTGTAGAATGGAAACTATTCCATTCATATCTACCATGTGGTTTTTTCCAACTGAGTGTGCTAATATGTAGCTGATATTTTTCTTTACCATATCTTCACTTAACCCCGCCGAGATGTGCTCACAAGCATTGAAAATTATATTTCTACAGCAGAGAACAAGGTAACTAGCCCAACAGGAATAATCGAACCGGCAAATACAACAGGAAGTGATCAGTCTTGGCAGTTCATCTTTCAGTCTAAGTGTCACTTGTGAGTGTATGGAAGGAAAAATTTGTAACTTATGACGATTAGAATTTCTCTGGATTGATCTAAGTAGTTTGTCGAATAATTTCTCGCTAAGCATGTCACCTTTAAACAGTACCGGTATGTACAGTGGTTTTATGAATTGACTTCCTCAAGTGTATAATATTAGTAACAACCAGTAAGCATAATCTTATTATTGCTGACGTATGATTCCTCAATGTGTACATATAACTATAGAACCTCAAGCAGAAGTTATCAAAAAGAATACTCTGTGTTCAGTAACATAGCTATTTAATTATAATGAGGAGTTTTACCAAAAAAATGGTTACATGGAATCTCAGTCTAAAAGCTTCTGAACTATACGCTATTGATCTTCATGACTAGCAAAAGAATCCAGGACGCACATTTCCTCCTGTTTGGGACTCATCAGCTAGATATATCTGTACCCCTGTGAGCGATGTTGTTCTCATCCCTTCAAACGCCTCAGAGTTATCCACTAGGCCACTGAGACACCTTATCCACCTCCTATACAACGGATATCACTTGTTGTTATGATACTTGTAATTTCCCGTCGCTATACAAGGAGAAACTACTCAGTCTCTGTTGGCGTATGGACTCCTATAAGGGTGCCACGATTCTGCTGGATATTCATCGTGTTGTATTATTCTTGATGACTAGCGAAGGAATCCAACTATCATGAAAACAACTGATACCCTTTGTACAAGAGGTGGCTATCGTTCCCCACTGGCCTGGTGGATTTCGTTCTGGTGTTTGAAGCGATGAGTACTAGGTTTGAGCCACAGTGGGAACAATATTACTTACTGGGGTGCCGGTATATGCAGGTGAGGAGTCCTAAGTGGGACGAAACGCGTATCCTAGGCCCCTTTGCTGGCCACTAAGATCAAAATAACAACATAAATAGGCAGCAGTATCGAGGCCTCCACATAGGAGCCCATCTAACAACAGAGGTTGGGCAATTCGGTCCTGTAAAGCAACCGGTAAAGAACCAGTTGATGACTATTTGTTGTTTAGTAGTTGGAGAATCTATGTAGATCAAGCTTTGGAGAAAATGGTTCCCTCACTAATTCTTATAAGCTGCGCCGTCCAGTAAACTTCCTGGATACCTACATTACCTACCTTCATTATCGACAAAGCTTAGTTTCGTAATGAACATACAGACTAGTCGTTGTCATTGTCAGTAGCAAGTAAAAAACTTCTAAAAGGCTCAAATGCATTCTCCAGCACTTTTTATTGAAATAAGTACTATGTAAAGTGTTCCTAAAAGCTGTAGAAGTCTAAAAGTACAACATGTCATGTGTAGAACTCACCATATTGCAAACTGAAGCATCATCTCTTGGTTATAAACCTAACTTTTTAAAAATGGTTGACGGGACTAATGAATCAAGCGCATTGTTTTACTATAAACTTTCCAATTTACTGACACTAATTTCATTGGACCTAGGAATGTATTGCAGTGTCTACTCCAGAGAAGGCTAGTTATAAACAAACATGCGAAAGCTTTTCAGTTGATCTGTATGCATGGAAAGGACTATTTGAATATGATAAACATGATACGCAGTGATTTGTTGAGATTAGTGCCTGATAGCCTGTAAAAATGATAAACAAAGTTGAGATACAAACGGGTTTAAAAGCTTATATAACAACCTACATCCAGAAGTTTTATGTAACCGGTAAATGTTTCCTTTTTTTGGTATACACGTAAAATGAGTGAATACTTTCAATCTGAAAAGATGCCATCCTCATATAACATAAGCTGTCACCTACAAGTCCTTCAATGATGAACCGGGGTATAACTATTCAACCTAATCGAATTTAATTGGAAATTTTTTTCAAATACTCTAACTAAATAAGATGACAGATTTTATTGGGATTTCTAAAAGTTTAAATTACACCGTAGAACAAAGATGTAAGAGCTAATACAACTTATTTTCAACGATATCATTCACTAAAGTCACTATACAATCGTAGTAATAAGTACTGGAAATAATAAGACAGTCTATCGATGATCGATTCGGTCAGGTGATTACTATAGTGTTCGAGAATAGACAAAAAAAGTTATGAAATAAGAAGAACAAGTATATTTCAGTGAAGAGTCTCTTTTCTATGATTTCATTTTCAAATCTGTACAATAGCAAGTTTATACATTTTTCTAGTGTAAGGGTTTCATAGTGTTACTGCTTGTTTTATACCTTCTTTGATTAGACCAAATTGATCAGTTTCCATTGGCATATGGACTCCTGCACGGATG